ATCAAACTTCTCTTAACAAAATTCTGACTTGTAACGTCAGGACAGAACAGCATTGTTCTCTAGTCGTCTACGACCTGATATACAATAGACAATAACCTTTGCATTCAGTCACTGTGTGCTTTCCTAAGTCCACACTCCGATGCTCATTAAAGTAAAATATTCCAGTAGACATGCTTTAATTTGACACTAAACTTAAATGTTCCATAATCTTAAATTGCATATTAAATGAACTACTAATTCATCCTACTGTATTGCATTGCCTAGAATCGCTATGTTATGTGTTTAACGAAAAACAAAACTGAAATCGAGTTTTATAAAATTTTAGAAGGTTGTGTTTATTCTGTAAAGTTAGTCGCATGTGTGCTGTTTGATTTTCATGACATAGGGTAGCGTCTTGTCAGTGGAGGTTATGTAACTCTTTGTTCTTACACAACCGACAAAAACATGGTGTGTCCTTTCTGAAATTTTAACATGGAAAGAACATAATAGATATTTAATAAGAGTGTGAAAGAGACGACCGGGAAGTATTTAAATGTTTATATTGAGCCATGCCTCATGGCTCGAAGTGGCTTATCTCCCATATCTAAGTTCTTTGAAGTCTGCGGCTTCGAGACCCTGATGAGATAGCAGGGCAGTTAGGACAGTCTGTGTGTGTCCGCCGGAGAGAGAACGACTAGAGGAGAAATTCGGAAGGCAAGTCAGGGTTTGTGGGGATTGAGTTGGGCATCTGGGGTTGGATACCCAGCCGGAGTTTGAGCCCTGAAAGGTGTCTTGATTCTTTTTATCCTATATTTAAATATTTTTCATTAAATAATATACTTTGATTAGTCGACGTAGTTTCTTTTGACTTTTCACCGCTTTCCCCCCCCCAAGCCGTACCACCTCCCGGCCTGGGATGATTTTGGCCTCAGTAACGTATTCCGGCAGTCCCCCAATCGGGGGTTTAGTACTTGCTTAATAAGCCGTGTATTTTGGCATTATAGCCATAGGTTACTTGTAAAGTCCTTGCTTCAGCAAACAATGTTAATTTATTTTCTTACGGTGTACAGTATAGCCACAGATTCTCATGTCTCAGTAGCTTTGTTGTGAAAAACATGTGAGATAGCATTTTATCCTGAAAATATTTTATCAGTTTGAGGGCAGCCCCTATTCCATTTCTGAATTCCTGCATTTATGACATCAGAATTTTAGAAGTTCCTGTGAGGAATCTGCTATTCTGCATACTGTCTCTTTTTTGCACATGACATCGATTCATAAGAACTGTATCATCTGAATGAATTATAAGTTATTTATATTTTTATTGCAGAATGTTAATATAATCTCAGTAGAAAATGATACGGATGTCTTGAGTGAAGAACATTCCACTGGCCTGCAAACTGATAAGGTTTACATACCATCAGCATTTTCCACAATAAAGGCTGAACACAGGGTAAGCTTTTCCTCCCCCCCAGATATTTTTTTGTGATTGTAATTCATGTGTGTGTACATAAGTATGTACATACTTAGATGCATGGGCTGTGATGGGCAGGGGCTCAGTTTGGCTTGTGTTTCTTTTGTGAGGAATGAAGAACAGGCTCAATTTGAGGAATATTTGCTACCGTTCAGTTCGGAAACCTTTATTATTCCCACCCAGTTTCTGAAACCATAAACATGAAAATAAATATATTTTGAATATGACATTTCTTTGGGCTGCTGTGCCATGTAAACTAAAAAAAGTGACTGATGTTTCATAGCTGCTTACTTCTGCCATCATCAGGGTGATATCTTGGTCAACTAAGCAACTATTAGCTTCTCAAGAAGTTTTCACGGAGTTTCTTGTGTTTTTTTTAGAGCAGTGAATAACAAATTCCCGTATTTTGTTGTTTCTCCTGTCTATATTTTGGTTATCATTTCTTTATGAACTTTTATTTTTTAATGGTTTTTCAAAGTACCCAAACATTTCCTTGTGATAAAATTTAGATACTTAATAAGCGTGATGGCGGTTTTACAGAATTGCATCGGTTTACAGGAAGTTGTATCGGATTCGTGTAGTGAAACTTGTCTAGTTTCTCCTCATGATGGAAGTCAGCTCATCAAAGCAAAAGTTGAAGATGTGACAGATATAAAAGAGGAAGAGGATCCTGTGCAAATAACATCTCCAACAATAAAGTCTGAATGTGAGGTGAGTATAGTGTAATGAATTTTCAGGAGTTTTTCTAACAACGTGCATGTCTTGGTAAAAAAACATGAGTTTGGAAGTTATGGAATGAGATTTTGGGGAGTACACTTGGCTTAAGTAATTTTTATGCTATTGTTTTCTTCCGAGACATAACACCCTTGAACCTAATAAATATCCATATATTATTAAACAGTCCAGTTGATGTGTGTCAAACTCCAGGCTAGACTAGAAAATTAGCTTTGTACAAACAGCCAGAATCTAAAGGAAGTAGCACATTTATAACATCTTTGCTATCACAATGAGTAAAAAAAAATAGACAATAACCTTTGCATTCAGTCACTGTGTGCTTTCCTAAGTCCACACTCCGATGCTCATTAAAGTAAAATATTCCAGTAGACATGCTTTAATTTGACACTAAACTTAAATGTTCCATAATCTTAAATTGCATATTAAATGAACTACTAATTCATCCTACTGTATTGCATTGCCTAGAATCGCTATGTTATGTGTTTAACGAAAAACAAAACTGAAATCGAGTTTTATAAAATTTTAGAAGGTTGTGTTTATTCTGTAAAGTTAGTCGCATGTGTGCTGTTTGATTTTCATGACATAGGGTAGCGTCTTGTCAGTGGAGGTTATGTAACTCTTTGTTCTTACACAACCGACAAAAACATGGTGTGTCCTTTCTGAAATTTTAACATGGAAAGAACATAATAGATATTTAATAAGAGTGTGAAAGAGACGACCGGGAAGTATTTAAATGTTTATATTGAGCCATGCCTCATGGCTCGAAGTGGCTTATCTCCCATATCTAAGTTCTTTGAAGTCTGCGGCTTCGAGACCCTGATGAGATAGCAGGGCAGTTAGGACAGTCTGTGTGTCCGCCGGAGAGAGAACGACTAGAGGAGAAATTCGGAAGGCAAGTCAGGGTTTGTGGGGATTGAGTTGGGCATCTGGGGTTGGATACCCAGCCGGAGTTTGAGCCCTGAAAGGTGTCTTGATTCTTTTTATCCTATATTTAAATATTTTTCATTAAATAATATACTTTGATTATTCGACGTAGTTTCTTTTGACTTTTCACCGCTTTACCCTCCCCAAGCCGTACCACCTCCCGGCCTGGGACGAACGTGGCCTCAGTAACGTAATATGGCAATCACCTCCTCGGGGGGGTTCAATATGTATTATTTTTCGAAAATGTAAGGAAATTATCCCTTGACAAGGTGAAATGTAACTTATATACATGCATTTGTCTGTTCTACATTAGGTATAACATTTTGTATGTTCACAGATTATACAAGTTTTAACATGCTTGTTATTAAAATAAAAAATTCTGCTTAAGTGTGTAGCATCCTTTTCTCGGACTGGGACCTGTTCATATACGTTCTTGGCAGATGATCCAGAAGTGGTTTGCCATTGCCTTCTTCTGTGTGTGAATGGAGTAATTGTTGGGATGCCACGGAGAAACCGGGGAAGCCCCCGGAGGAAAACTCCGTGTTGCCTAGACCACGGCCTTGCCCAACACAAGTTATAAATTCGGACACCGCCGGGAATCGAACCCGAGACACCAGGATTACAAGGCCAGCGTTCTAACCGCTAGACCACCGTGGCGCCACTCTGAACAATATATAACATATACATTTCTGCAATCATTCTGTTAGTTTGGATCATGTTATATGTTCATAAATCCTTGACGCGTGTTACTTATCTTTCGTTAGATCGGTACAGAACTAATTATATCTACGTCCCTGGAGCTGGGTAAGAATGTTTCTTGAGAAACTGATAGTATCGTCTCTCAACTAGCCAATAAATTCTTCGTCTTTTATCTAAACCGAAGGACAAGTTCCGTGTCCACCAAAGCACGCCACTCGACAGAATTCTGAGACAGAAGTATACATCGTCCTCACACTCATGTCTCAGAGTAGCTTTAATAATTTGTATTATCATGCAAAAATTATTAGTTTAGGAGAACGTAGCGCCTCGACGGAGGCATTACAAACCGAAACAACACAGTCGATATATTCACCGGGGAGACAACCTCAAATCTCGGATATACTTGCTGTCTAACTATGTAATTCACGTATAAATACGCAGTCACCATGGAGACATTTGTCCCTTCGTTTAACTGCTTTGGAAACACTCTGTATATTTAAATCATACAGATAAAGACTAAACTCTGGGGAAATATGGGTTTAGATACCATGTTCATAAGATATTCCTATACATTACGGTTTTCAGAAATCACGAAAATTAATAACTATCAAAATGTATGACGTAAAACAGCGAAATAAAGTTTTCTATACCTTAAACCACTGTACATTCTGGTTTTCACATCACTTATTTCATACAAGGGGTGAGGGGATACGAGGATAAAATAATTCTGCATTGATACAGAAAACAATACTTCAGCAACCGATGTTTTAAACCGAGTGACAAAGAGGAGAAACATCTGAGGAAGAGTAATTAGACACACTGCATTTAAGAAAAGAAAAATTTTCGGCTACGAAGTTTCCCAGGCGGAAACCGTTCGTCCTTCCTGAAGCCGAAGCTCGTAAATAATACTTAAAAATTCAGTTTTTACCTCAATGAAAATACAATGCTTCACCAATACAAAGATCAATTGGTTAATGATTTTTATTGTTATCATACTAGAAACATAAACTCTGTGACAAAAGACAGAGTTATCGATTGTTAGAACGTGTGCCACATATTATTACTACCAGGCTTTAAAAATTAAATCATAATTTCCGTATTTTGTAACAAGATGAGAGAGCTTTCAAATAAATTATTGTCCGTGACAAAATACCTATTCATCTGAAGTTTAAGGCAAACAAATATATGTGTGGACACAGGTTACAGGATATAGAAGATGCTGGGAAATTTAAACAATCACATTATTTTCAAGTGTGGTGAGCATAGAGGTCTTAAAAGGTGAAGAATCCTGAAGCAAAGTATGCCATAATATCTTTGGTCTACGATTATAGGGTTACTGAAACTTTGATATTAAAAGTATTAATAGTATCGCCTCGGACAGAATTAAGATGAATAGGCGGACATTATAATCGACTTATAAACAAGACGATGGTTGCACTCATAAATAACGCGCGAACAATTTCCCGCTTTGTAAGGGGTGCAGAAATTCCTGCACTCAACTATAAATTATAAATTAAATGTTTCCCCCACATTCTTGTCTCTACAGAGCTATTAGGATCACATTAAATGCAGTCTGTCTTGTTTTCTTTGTCACTTTATGCTATGCTAAGTTATGTAACACTTAATTCCAAAGTAATCAGGAATAAACACTTTTCGGTGTCTAGAGAGTTCCTCAGCATGCGGTCTAGAGCGCCGGCCTGGACCGTTCGAACACTGGAATCGTGGGTTCAAATCCCGTTAAAGGCATTGATGTTTATCCATGTCTTCCTGTGTTGTCCTGTCCTGTGGAAGTCATGCGGTAGGATGATTACGTATCCAAATAGTCCTGATCAATGTTCAAGTAGCTTCTGGAATCTGCCTTATGTAAAGTGACAAAAATCTTTCATGTATTGGAGAGCCACAAAGTGAGTTTCTGAATAATTACACCAACTTTTCTTTTAACTTTTTAGTTATTTCTTCTTCAGCGTCTGAATGAGCACTATTAACATTTGTAACATTGTTAGAGAACTTCACATCGATTGTCTTCTGGGTTATAACGCCGTGTGGACTTGTAAGTTGATACTTTCTTTTCGGGGGAACATCTGCGTCCATTCTTAGTGCTGAAGCCGTACCTACCAACTTGCAAGACGACAATGTGCTACAAACCAGAAGATTTTACATTGACATATACATTGCAGTGAGAACCTCAAATCCCATACAAAACTGCAGATTTATGATGTTAAAGATTCATTCGCCTTTGCATCGTAATGTGACAAGGAAAGTTTGTACGGAGCAGCAACATTGTTTTTTCAGCGTAGGATTAAACGAGCGAAGGAACTGTTTCATGTATTGACAAGTGAAAGACATGGGGATACTTATACTTTGCGCTAACTAAAGACTCTGTATGTTGCGTTATTTAATACCGACAACAATTAAAGTTTAATTATGTACCACGAACTGCGAACAACTGAGATACCAGGAGTCATGACTGATTTAAAGGTATCTTGGAATTCGTCTGGGATGGATTTAGATCTCGTTAAATCAGTCAGAAGAACCGGAGCGCTTGTCGAATATCTAACTTGGTTCCTTGTTCATGCAAAGTGTTGCCGCTTTGGTAACTAATTTGTATAAATAATGAGGTGAGAAGATGGTCTCTACCTGGTGGGACTGAGGAAAAGTTAAAAAAATTAGTGAATACGAGTTTTTGGTGGTCTTCTATTTAGACTAGTATTTGAGATTACCAAATTTGGTTTGCAATCCAAGTTTTGGTACACTTTCGTGGTTTTATTCTCCACTATAACCTTTCACCATTCAACTTGCTGCTTCTCATCTGTGTGATGTGGTTGAACTGGGATCACAGGTAGGGGATATCACGAGGCTTTCAGAACTAGATCAGGGCACGTGACCTCTTAATCCCATGGGCCGTTCTCTCAGCGGGTAGTTGACTGAGTGACTTGGAAACGTACGATGGTAGGAGGGTGGGTCTTGATGTGGCGTGATGACCATGAATCACAGTTAACTAGAATGTTCAGTTATAACAACTTCATATTTTTCATGCCGCTGGGCGTATAATTTATTCTATTCTCGCTTGGGAACATATCAGAAACACTTGTACGTTCTCAGCTCTTTTACCCCCTCGAATGACTATGTAGCTGCAAAACTTAACAACGACTTTCCAGCTTTGAGAGTTAGTTGAAGCAGTTTTTACATAGCCACCCCAAGGTCGTCCTAATTTCCTCACTCTTCAAAATATTAAAGCGATTTGCGACCCTCACACAAGGGTCCTATGTAGTTAGCCACCCTGCGTCTACGGAAATCGTAGCACCGAACTTAGCTTGGGATAGAACGATTTATTCAAGGGTGTGAGGATCCCTTGTGAGGCCTGTGTTACCCTTAATGCCCTTGCACAGTTATGCTAACTAAATTTTATTCTTCCTGGGAAAATAGTCAATCATACTATTTCCCGTCTACAGTGCTACGATTCGAATAGAAGAATATGAAAATCATACTATTTGGGACCAAATAAAATATACCATTATTGCAGCCACTAAATTCAACATTTATTGCATATACGCATATATACTAAGTGGTATATGTGGTGTACGTGTCTTCCTATATGCCTATTTATGAATTTTTTTAATGCTCCACGGCTACTGATTACGACGATATCTTAAGAGGTGATCAGCCTTCTGAATATGGAGCTACAATCCGGTTCGTTACATTCGTTATGTTATTAGGTTATTATTATGCCATTACGTTACTATTGCGTTATTAGTTTGTAATACGTTTCGGAGACTGTCCACCTCGATCTTGAACGCTGACAATGTAAATAGACCATCTCCGAAACGTTGAAATGTAACTCCATACTTAGATGGATGATCGTCAAAAGAGATTTTATTTGCAGTTTACCGTCTCTTAATATCGGACACACAACACATCAATTACAACCCGGTATGTTTTACTACCTTTTACTACATTTTATTATGATTCATTTACATTTTATTACGTTGTATTACGTATTAACTCTTTAAATTATTATATTTCCTATGTCAATATCCAAAATCACGACTTGAAAATTAATTAATTTTACAGATATAAAACATCCAAGTACAACCTCCAAATCAAAAGGAAGAGACAAAAAACTTAAAATTAAACAAATTAAAATAATCAATAAACGCAACGCAAAATGTACAACAGTTTTTAAAATATATTAAAATTGATAGACCTGATGATGATGTAATACACATTGAAACATGTCGTCGATACATAAATGTAACAAGATGCAGTGTCTACTGAGAATGTTATAATTTTAAATAATTTTAAACAACATTATTTTAAGTTTGTGTATAGACGGAAAATAAAAATATTGTATCAATAAAACACAAACATGACGCAATTAAGATATAGATTTTATTTTGTGTATGAGAACTGATACAGAATAAAATACTCTGTACACCTATATTTTTGTTGTCTCTTTGTTGACTATCGGGATATTATTGATGAGATTAGCGATATCGGCTTTAAAAATGAGCCTGTGATCGATGCAGTTAAAACCGTTGGAATACCTCAGTCTTCCATGTAATAACTTCGAACAAATGACTCGATTTTCTCGAAACTCAACTGACGATACCGAGACAATCGATTACAGAATGCGTGTCAGTAAATGTCCTAAAATATCATATATTTGCAGGTCTTGAGTGGGATATAGACAGCCTCTGTTAAGATTCTTTATGAGGACTGAGGAAGACAAAGTCAATCTTAAACCTTTGACTCCTAACATCTTCCAAAACTAGGACTACATTGACCTTGGCTTGTCAACTCCAAGGCCGCAAGGTATGAATAAAGTGAAATGTCATGACATTTTATTTAAAGAAAGTACCATTAAATTTAACTAATATTGCGGACAGGTTCACATATTACTCAATAATTTTCTTCAATAATATCAGTCACTAGTGAGGTTAGCATTATTTTCATTTTATTGATCTTTCGATATTATATTGAATATTTGATGTTGCAGTTTTCGTATATCCCTCCGAATTTAATCAATAATACATCTCCTATTTACTTTGTATAAGTAAAAGTACTGCCAGATACTGACGACAAAAATAAAAGTGCGTTTTTTGTATGAGGTAAATATTTTTCATCCTACAGAAAGATATATTATTACAAAATATGTACGCGGACGGCAAGAAACATATCGATGAGCCTCTGGTTGAAAACTCTTGTTTTACCTCTTATCTTACATGTAAAATTGAAATTCAGTGTTTGTGAATGTATATATATTCGTTTACAGCTCGAGAACGGATATTTGCACCAAATTTGGCATACTTATTCTTTGAGAACAGGAATGGTTTCTATAGCTCGGCAAATAAACATAATAGAAGAACGGCACAAAGAACAGAGTTGTTTGTTTCAACAAGGACAGTACAAGTTCTAATGTCAGAAAACCAAAACTGTCAGTGGTTCGAGTGGGACTGAATATTCTTCTGATTTAACGAGCTTGGCTCTCAGGTCAATTTGGACTCGCATAATCAAACTTTTATGGAATGTGGAGAAGAAGTTTGTAACGGACTTTTTCACTGCAGTAATATGCAATAGGCCGTAAAATCAATATTTTGGAAACGATTACGAATAATTAATCTTAAATATTGGCTATTTCAAAGTATTTTACAGATAACAGCCTGAAGGAACTGTATAAAATGCGAAACCACTGGGAAATCAATTGATTATAAAATATTACAGAATCTGTGATTAATAATAACAATACAAACTTCTGAAGCTTATTTCCTATTGTCTTTCAGGGATTCTTCACGCACTAGGATCCATCTGTGAAGAAGACTTGAATCCAGTTGTAGATATTCTGTTATTTTGATAAATTAATTCTTAAAGTGTTGGACAATGTAATTAAAAACTTATTTCTAGAGTGTTGATGTCTGTTAACGTCGTGAACATTATGAAGTCAATGGAGCTTGAAAATGGGACAGCAATATAAAATGTTTTACTCTGTTTTGTCGTGGTGTTTCAGACTAACCTCGCCTTTGCTTTTGGTGTGCCCAGTGGCACTGTGCCGAGCGATAAGCGCGTTGTCGTGTCGTGATCATTTTTCTTCATTTCGCCCTGCGTCCCTGGAGGCGACAAGAACACCGCGCCCCTCAAATTAATCCTCCGAGACACGAAATCCGTTTAAACAACTCCCACGACTTCTGATTCCTTCTTCTTTTCTCTTCATATGAGATATGATTTATGGAAAGGTTCAGGTATCTGAAATGGTCTTTCTTCTCCTTCTTCATATTTCAGCTACTTTTTTCCCCGACATTTGTACAGTGTAGTATTTATTTTGAAAATTGTAGATCTTAATTGATTTTAATCATTAAAGACGACACTAAAGACAATGCAGCAAATCGTTGAAGCCTATAGATTTTAGGCGGTATTTCCTTATTTCATTTGTTACTACAAACGCTCAAAATGTCCTCCGTTGACACGAACACATGTGCACCACGACTTCGGAACACGGCACTTAGCCTTCGAGTACCCCGGGTATGTTACTGTTAGTACCTAGTTACGAAGTCCTTCCAACGCATGTGTTCATGCCCACGGAGGACATTTCGAGAATTGTTTGTAACATATGCAAAAAAAATCATTTTAGTAAAGAATTTCGCATGTTAGAGATACTGGAACATCATACCATTATTTTATATTCTCTACCTTTCCACAGAAGCATTTTTGGAACTTCATTCAACGAATATTTTCTCATGTTGACATCACGAAGTTCTATCAATTATGGCACAATTTAGAAATACACTGTGTAATGAATAACAGGGACATTCTATTTACCTGCTTGTCCGAGTGTTTTTTGACAATCAAAAATTTTCAATTATGTTTTACTCCATCCGCGCGTAGGTAACCCTCACTCTACCTGAAATTCAAATCATACCTTAAATATTATCTCAAAAAGTATCACAATGCAAAAAGTAAGAAAAATTGCATGAAACACATTAAATTAAAACACGTCAATTTCAAACATTCTTGAGAATGATACATATTTAACAAAACATACCTTAAATATAAATATTATGGCTTTATACTTTGGAAATTTGTTATTGATTACTTTCGTCATTAACAGAATTTATTTATCTTTACTTTATTTCTCCAATGAACGAACATCAAGACCATTCAATTCTGTAGACAATAATGGCACTAAACATAAGCTTCAAATTGGATTACACGTGTATTTCCCTGTTTCAGCTACTCTCATGCACATTTGTCGACCGAAAACTGATTGCAATTTCCGTGCGTGCGGTTAGCAACAATGCTGGAAGACATTCTATAAAATCGTGCTGCTGAGCAAACAACACTTTACATCTGCAGGTAGCGGCGTGTTTACCGAAGCAAACATTGCATCCGAACAGGAAATGCGAGGCTGTCGATTAGCCTACCGTCTATTTACCCACGGTTTAATTACCCCTAGTTGCCGCCAGAGTGCTCGCGTGTCACTCTTGACACGCAACGTAGAATCCATTAAAATCCTCTGCACAAATATTTCCGAACTCGAATCAAGTTACTAGGTAATTTTTCTGTAACTACGTGCTCGTGCGTGCGCGCGCATTGTTGCTTGTACATATTAATACTACGTCAACTTAAAGGAAACGTGCTTTGTGATATTGTGTGTATAGACCTTGTTTATTTCATATTTTTCTTTCTTCGAATCTGTAGGCACCTCACATATTAATTTAATACTGAGACATCTGACAGGTACATGAAAGAAGTCTTTCCTGGTGAAAGAGACCGTCTCCGAAACATGGGATTCTAACTCCATGGCTCTGCTGTAGCACAATCAATATAGTGACTAGGTTAGGGGATGGACAGCCGGGGTTCGATTGCCGATAGAGAAGGCTACTTTTCTTCGCCACTGCACGTCCAGACCGGTTCTGGGGCCCACCCAATGCTCATATCCATGGGTAAAGCCGTAGAGACGTGAAGTTAAGCATTCTCCTTCGTCTACCTAGTGTCGAGGTTAAGAATGCGTGGAGCTGTACATCCATTACATAAGTCTATAAGGCGTGAAGTTTAATGAAGAAATTTCGTACTTACACGACTGATCTCTTTAGAATACATTATATTAGTTTGCCATGAAAGCTTCAAATATCATCTAACTTTATTATCGTGTTACTCCGAATTATATCTCCGTGAATGTAATGAGTACGGTCCGACGGTCCAGGGTTTTGTTTCCGGCAGGGGTGTTTTTTTATGTTCAGCTCTACAGCAGAGTTTCGTGTCTCGTTGTCTACGGGAATAATTTCCTGAGTAGGATATGGAGTCCTCCGTTAACAGAATGAGGAAGACTTCGAATGTTACCTACCATTCAACATGCCTGTCTGCTTAGGCCCAGGAAATCCCCAATTTGAAAAATGTGGAATAAATTACAATGTGAAGAACTGATCTCTATGCTGTTTACAGGCTGTTTCATTCTTTTTTAGATTTTGAAGATTATAAAGTAATTAAATTTAATACAGGATATACCATTTACAAAACAACCTAACAGTAATAAAGAACTACGTTATTAAATATAATCAAATGCAGCTCTAGACCCATGTAATAGACCTCTCGAGTCAAAATCACCCTGGTTGCTAGGCTGCTGCTCCAGTCAGCTGCGCAAAAATTGTAGATGTGGACGTGGTATGTTCATTAGCAGGGCATGAACAGAGATTAGAATTTATATTTTTGGCATTATTCCTTATTGTATACTATTATTTATGGATTACTGTGATGAATTGGAGACCTTGTTTATCTTCTTCTTCTTTATTACGCCGTCTCCTTTACAGGAGGTTGGCGACATATTATGAACAGGATCCTTCCATCCTGCCTTGTTTGTTTTTCATTTTTGAACATTACTTCACATCGAAATTTTATGTTGTGAAGCCTTTAGCAACCCTTATCTCGAGAATATTTTTTGTAAAAGGAGAATAGTTGTGGCCCGAAGACTGATAAAGTGACAGGGGGATGGAAAATATTACGTGGTAAGGAGCTACATAACTTGTCCAAAAAATCTTCTACACTACGATTTATTTTGTTGCTATGGCATTAACATGTTTTGATGTATAAAGTGTAATATTGAGGCTTCCACACTTGTTACATCAATCGCTGAATGTAATTAGCTGTGTCCATGAATCTTACGTGAAATTTAAAATTATATTTTAAGTTGATTTAGTTGTTACAGTAGGTTCTTTCATTATTAATTAGTCATTTGTTATATTAACTATTAGTTGTGTTATACTGTCTAAATCAGTGGTATTCAACCTTTTTTGTTCGTGTACCCCCAGATATAATTTCTCTTCAACTTTGTACCCCCAAAGTTGTTTGTTTATAATTTAAGTTATACATAGTATATAATCTACATCTAAAATAAATTAAATAAATGACATTACTGATTATTCAGTGTTTATCATAAATTAATTTTTTTTTAAATTTCACGTACCCCCTAAGATGTCTTCGCGTACCCCCGGAGGTACACGTACCCCAGGTGGAATACCACTGGTCTAAATTATAGAATCAATAATTAAATTATAATTAAAAGTTAAAACTATTGTTTTGTTGGAAGGTTGCCGAGTATTTTTGTCAATATTAAATTTTTCTTGCTATTTGAAAGTGTTTTAGCTGCAGCTATTCTAGTTATAAAATCTCCTTGTGTATTATTTTTATTGCTCTGTATTATTGTTGATAATTTAGGCGTATATTGTCCTTATTATTCTTATATGTTGCCTTTTTTATATTACTGTTGGTTGTTGCAATCGTAACTTGTTTCAATTAATTTTTTGTTCATTATTCCTTATTGTATACTATTATTTATGGATTACTGTGATGAATTGGAGACCTTGTTTATCTTCTTCTTCTTTATTACGCCGTCTCCTTTACAGGAGGTTGGCGACATATTATGAACAGGATCCTTCCATCCTGCCTTGTTTGTTTTTCATTTTTGAACATTACTTCACATCGAAATTTTATGTTGTGAAGCCTTTAGCAACCCTTATCTCGAGAATATTTTTTGTAAAAGGAGAATAGTTGTGGCCCGAAGACTGATAAAGTGACAGGGGGATGGAAAATATTACGTGGTAAGGAGCTACATAACTTGTCCAAAAAATCTTCTACACTACGATTTATTTTGTTGCTATGGCATTAACATGTTTTGATGTATAAAGTGTAATATTGAGGCTTCCACACTTGTTACATCAATCGCTGAATGTAATTAGCTGTGTCCATGAATCTTACGTGAAATTTAAAATTATATTTTAAGTTGATTTAGTTGTTACAGTAGGTTCTTTCATTATTAATTAGTCATTTGTTATATTAACTATTAGTTGTGTTATACTGTCTAAATCAGTGGTATTCAACCTTTTTTGTTCGTGTACCCCCAGATATAATTTCTCTTCAACTTTGTACCCCCAAAGTTGTTTGTTTATAATTTAAGTTATACATAGTATATAATCTACATCTAAAATAAATTAAATAAATGACATTACTGATTATTCAGTGTTTATCATAAATTAATTTTTTTTTAAATTTCACGTACCCCCTAAGATGTCTTCGCGTACCCCCGGAGGTACACGTACCCCAGGTGGAATACCACTGGTCTAAATTATAGAATCAATAATTAAATTATAATTAAAAGTTAAAACTATTGTTTTGTTGGAAGGTTGCCGAGTATTTTTGTCAATATTAAATTTTTCTTGCTATTTGAAAGTGTTTTAGCTGCAGCTATTCTAGTTATAAAATCTCCTTGTGTATTATTTTTATTGCTCTGTATTATTGTTGATAATTTAGGCGTATATTGTCCTTATTATTCTTATATGTTGCCTTTTTTATATTACTGTTGGTTGTTGCAATCGTAACTTGTTTCAATTAATTTTTTGTTGTTGTTTATATTATTTCTTACAGACTGGTTTTAGATCGTTAATTAACGAGATCTTAAGAACGTAGCTGTGTTTTAATTACTCATCAACCCATGCGTGTGTTTGTGAATGTAGTTATAATTAAGAATTTGCCCTGTTGTTCTATGGGATCTCTAGTTATATGAATTAAAAGTTTAGAAAATTACATTCTCTACTTTAAGCACAAGTAATCTGTGCTCTGGGGGTTTTGATTTAATTAAATTCATCACTTCTTTACTGTAACGAAGATAGAATGTGGGAATCAGACCCATGCACCGGCTGTTTCGGACATACACGTGCAAGGCCTGTGTAATACCACGAAGACAGAATGCAGTTTCGGACGCAGCCACTCCTTTATTGATTCAGCTTCCAGTTTTGCTGGGAATATGAACAATTATATTTTTTATTCTCTGTACCTTTTGTCCCGCTTTCTGAAATATCGAAATCTGCACCCGATATATGTGCACTACCAGTGGACATTCGATAACCCCTGTAAGGCTTAGTGGGAATTATATGTACCACCTACTTTAACAGTTTTGAATTTTGCTCTCGTGTTTTGTACGATTATTTCCTTAAACAACATGAACCAACTGACATCTGTAACGGAGAAGCTTTGTGCTTTCTTTGAAGTACGAGGCATATTTCAAAAATGTTTTCAGAAGCCTCTAGCTTCACAGGATTAACCTAACATCCCCCCCCCCCTTTAACGGGCTGTGCGGTTTAGCTTATATTTTTTTTTAGAGATTTCCCAACTTAAAATAATTATAACATTCAAGAATTGACAGGGGCTTTTTAGTTTCGCTTTTACTTTGATGAATGTAGGTCTACTATTTATTTATTGAACATGGATCTATTTTCGTATATTCCTAAATCATACGTTTTGTCGGATTTTTAAATTAATTTCATAAACTTGTTGGCTGCTAATTAAATTTATAACAAGTTATATTGTTATTATGGGCATATAAAAATTGTCATTGTATGGCATATTTACAAGTTGTTTCAAAATGATGTGCCATAAATCTTTGGGGCAATTCAGAACATCGATACTAATTTCAATTAACATATCCGAAAATGCTGCTGTGAATGTTATAAAATAAAATAAGTTCGAGCGTACAATATTTCAGCATTTCTAAAATGCAAAATGTTTGACTGAGGGAGGATTTATGTGCTGCACACGTGGCAACATAAGCTCTAAATGCCATTCATGGATTTGTAAGCATGCGTCAGTACTGTCTCGAAGGGTTCGAACACTCCATATGTGGCAAGAGTCTCGTTTGCTGCATTCTGTAAGGGTTACCAAAGTTGCTAATGTCAACAGTATTGGCGTAAACAGCATTTTTTTATCCCACAAGTAAAATTCTACAGGACTGAGGTCCGGTAACCGTGGTGAACACAACACAGTAACCTCGGGACCGCGACGGATATAATGTCTTGATGGTGAGATGATCTTTATTGATTCCGGCCCACACGTTTAACAGCTTCGTGCATCATGCAGATAGATCATCATAATGTGCTCCATAACGTTTATCCTCTGAAAATTTATATAGGCTCAAGTCCGGACGTTTGGACCGATTTATCTAAACATTTAGACTCTTATTGACATCTTGCAGCTCCCTGTCAGTTATAACATTATTAAGAAACACTCTGTATAAAAAATCGTTTGTATGTTTAGTAAATGCCGGCGATGACTCTGTGCTGAATTTTGATTATTTTGTATGTATTCGATCTTTTTTCCAAGCTAAGACTAAACTTTGGATTAACCAGCTATTCCATTAGTTTCCCGACCCCACTAAGGTTGGTTATGATAAAGTTTGCTTTTATTCTAGAAACTTCCATCTTTCAGGAGTTATGAGATCGAATGAGATGGGAAGATGATCATGAAAACTAAACAGTTAAGGAATTGAAAGGAAGCAGTGATAACCTACTTTAAGGTTCCATAACGGTATTTGCTTGAAGCGGCTAAGAAGAATCACAAAGAATCTTATTCAGTACAGCTGAAACATTTCCTTTCGAACACAAAGCATGCTACAGAGTGTTACCATTCGCTATTATTTAAATATATTCTTGGAGAGTGTCTTAAGAACATAAGAGGTCGCGCGATAAGTGCTGACACTTGCGCAAAGGACTGTTTTTGGTCGTATGAGATGGACCCGTCCAAAGCACGCGCTAGAGGGGTGTCATCTTCAGTTGGTTAGTGGCTCTAGCTGTGTTTAGATCGGTGCGTCACCGCAGCTGAGGCTATGCGACCCCCACTACTACTGAACTCCCCTCTCTCGGTTTACACATAACGCATTTAGGTGCCACCACTACTCGTGCGACCTCTATATACACACATTCACTGAATTTGTATTGCTCGATTTCAATCGACCTAAAAGAAGAGAACCTGACTGTTTCTGGTAGCAGAAATACGAGTGCGGCTCAGACCATCAGTTGGAATTTTTTTACGCTTATCAGTTAAGTAGTTCAGCCACTGGTTCAGCTGTTACGTATGCAAAACAGAGGATGTAACTAGGAAGCAACGGAAGAGACTCTTATCCGAGCGTTACAATTAACCACAAATAATGGAAACGATAAGTAGAGTTTTGGTACTGTCCAGTGTAAGAAGAGAAGGACTGAACTGTCTCTTCTCATATAGGCCATAGGTTTTGTAGAGTTAGGCCCTTAAGTGTTTTTAGCCCATGTTGGTACTACTCCATATATTCTTATGAAAATTATACTTTGATTTTGACATAAATGGCCTCAGAATAAAATGAATTGTCTGAAATATTAGTTGTAGTTATTTAAACTATAATGTGGTCGGATGAATTCAAAATCGTTGTCATACCTTTATATATGAACCTTTAATTTACCAGTGTTACATCAAAGATTCGTTTGTACTCTTCTACCTTATTTCTGTGGTAGTAGACCTATAATGTTCAATACCGATGTTTCAAAGGCAAAATCCTCATCTAATTCCAGCTACCGGATGATCTGTAAGAACACAAAGTTCTCGACTCTGAAGGGTTGTCAATTGTGTAATACAATATGGATTGTTTGGGTCTTGGACTTTATCTATCGTTTGATGTTATAAAACACACAACGTGATTTGGATTGGCTCATTTTAACGGGCCCCACAGAGTATGTGCCCCTTTAATTACACCTGAAAACGAGGGCAGATCTAGTCCTCGAAATGTTGTGTATTTTATAACATGAGACGATGGACAAGGTCCAGAAACCCAAAAAGCCACAATGTTCCTCGTTTTAATACAGAATACTGCTGCAGAAACTATCAATGTTCATACCGTGGCCCACAACACATGTATAATGCTATTCACATCTGTTTGTGGTTGGATAGTGTGTCCTTTTCTAGAAAACCGGTGAAAAATATGCAAATTTGAAGTATACATAGAAACTATTTGCCCTTTAAT